ATAAATGACAGCTTCCGATGTCTGAGAAAAGTCCGACTTTGGCGAGAAATTCTCGCTATTAGTCAGAAAGTGCCCCTAAGCGGAATCCAACATGGAGGCTAGTTTCATGCCTTGTTATGTTTATAGTACAGTAGATATATATTTTTTAACAATTAAGCTGGGGGGTGCCTATGATTTTTACTGGCCAAAATATCCTCAAGATCTTCCTGAGGCGCCCATTATGGAAACTTGATACTTTGTTTATATCACTTTCTGTCATCCCCCATCATTCAGCACCATACATTAAGACAGATAGTACACAACTATTATACAGCTTGATCTTAGTGTGTCTGCTGATGCTGTTTGACTTCCATATATTTTTAAGTTTGACAAAGGATCCTCTGGCTTTACCTAATCTTGCTATTATGTCATTGTCAGCACCGCCATCTGATGTCACAACACTTCCAAGGTATGTATATGTATTTTTAATATCTTTTCCATTCAGCTGTATTTTGGGTGGGATTTTTGTATTTAGGGACATTACTTCTGTTTACTTTATGTTGATATTCACACCGATTTTGCTGGCATTTATTTGTAAATTAGATGTTTTTCCTTGCATATGTGTTTCCAGATGAGATAGTAAAGCCAGGTCATCTGCATAAACTGAGTCTTCTAGATTGCTGAAAAGAGTCCGCCTGATGCCTGTGTTGTCTTTACAGAGGGATGATCTCATTACCCAGTCTACTGCTATGATGAACAATAGGGCTAACATCACACATCCTTGTCCTACTCCTGATTTCACAAGAAAGCTTGTGTTTGAAGAGCTACCAATAGAGCATTTAAATTCTGCATAGAATGCTTTTATTAGGTCAAATAGTTTAGATGGTATACCATAGTGCCTTAGGATCTTCCACAAACTATCCCTGTGAATGCTATCAAAAGCCTTTTCAAAGTCAGTGAAGTTTATGATAAGTTTGCCATTCTGTGCATTGTTCTATTATGCTTCTTAATATAAACACTTGGTCACAGCAGCTCTTTCCTTTTCTGAAGCCTGCCTGTTCTTTCCTTAACTTGTTGTCCACTGATGTCTTAATTTTGTTTACAATTATTTTACTAAAGATCTTGATTTGTATAGAGAGTAAAGTAATGCCTCTCCAGTTGTTACAGTTTGTGAGGTTTCCTTTTTTCGGTAGTTTAATGATGTTACCTTCAGACCATGCTGTTGGTATCACGTCATACTTCCATATCTTGCAGAAGAGAGAATGAAGAATATTTGCTGCTAGGATAGGGTCTGCTTTGAAGATTTCAGCTGGTAAGTTGTCATTCCCAGGTGCTTTATTGTTCTTTAAACTCCTGATTGCTGTGACTATTTCTAATTTTGATGATTCGTCTCCATTGATTTCTAAGTTAATGTTTGCTTCAGGTATTTCGATCTGCTCTGCTGTTTGGATCTGAACGGTTCAAAATCTCTTCAAAATGTTCTTTCCATCTTTGTTTTTGCTCTTTTTCAGATGTAATCATTGTGCTCTGCTTGTCTCTTACTTCTTTTCTGTCCACTTAGCGTCTTGGTGATCTGATAAACATCACCCATTCTCTGTTCTCTTAATAACTTACTAGTAATCAAATAATGTTTAAAAAAGAATTCTTTAAACACCAATTTGCCTTTTGAATTCAAATGAAATTCAAACTAGGCATATGAAAGCTTAACTTACAGTGCAAGCTTGTTAACAACCGTTTGTGTGTCTTGATATATTGTCGACTAAAAATGAGATTGTTAAGGAAAAAAAACGCCAGCTGCCATTTTACTAAAAAAAAAAATTAATAAATGAAAACTGCAAATTCTTATGGCCTGAATCTTGTACGTGTAAAGGAAATTGGTTAAAGGTCTGACCAAATGATGACTCTTATATATTGTGCCTTAGTCAATTACTGTAAATGCTCTGGTGCCAGTAAATACATGTTTGTATTTGTTGAAATATCTCTATCGTCAGCCTGCAATATTTGTGATGAGTACAGAAATGCTATTCTTAATTGAAGCATTAAAATGTCAAAGCCACAACAGGCAGGTAGTATCGTTTTTGAAAGTGGGAGGGGGGAGGGAAAATAATTGAGGGGACCGGCCTTTCATTGAACATTTTCAACAGTAAAAAGTAAGTCTCTGCACAAGAACATTTAACTTTTGTGAGGTATGAGTCTCAAGTGACCTTGGCCTTCGCGGCAAGCAACATGCTCATATGCATCCAGTATGAAGTTTTGCCCCCCAAATTTTACATTCGTAAGAAATCAGATTTGGAAATTTTTCTGAACTCTGTGACCTTGTATAAGTTATCTTTGTTCAGTGTCATGACATATCCGTGATAATAAAGTTATTTCATTATGAAATTAAGGGCAAGAATCTGTACACTTCACATTAAGTGACCTTGTCCAAATGACCATAGTGCACTTCCATATATACACTTATCCACTTATTTACACTTCCTCTGACCACAGACAACCTTTGTGCCTATAGTATAATCTTCTTTTAATTCCAGATCTGGTAATCCAACCTATACTCAGAGGTCACTTTCAAAAGATAGAATTCTTTAAAATCACCTTTTAGTTTTCAGTCATTGATGGGGGGTTTGATTTACCATACCTAATCGGCATACTGGATTCCAAAACTTCATAAACAAAATGTGCTTGTGAAACACCGATGCCCATGTATGGCAACTTATAGCAAATGTTAACCTTTCTCAAATGTAAATCAAATATATTGGTACCCAAAGTAAGGTCTTGTCTTGGGGGAAAATACCTGTGAAATATGAAAGCCCTAGCAGCAACCATTGAATAGATATGGAAAAGGTTAAAGTTTTTCAAACGTAAGTCAAACATCAAGGTCAAGGTCAAATGGTAAAAATTAATGGTGCCCAAGGAGAGGCCTTCTCACAAGAAATACACGTATGAATACACATGTGAAATATGAAAGCCGTAGCACCAATCGTTCAAAATTTATGGCCAAGGTTAAAATTTTCAAAAGTAGGTCAAACTGCAAGGTCAAGGTCAATGGATTATAACTATTGTTGGTATCCAAAGGAAGGTCTTGTCACAAGGAATAGACATGTTAAATAATATGAAAGCCCTAGCACCAACAGTGTAAAAGTTATGGGCAAGGTTAAAGTTTTCCAAAAGTAGGTCAAACTTCAAGGTCAAGGTCACAAGACATTCCTTTTGGATACCAACAACTTTTACCCTTTCACCTAGGTGTTTCACCTACTTTTGAAAAACTTTACCCTTGGCCATAACTTTTGAACGGTTGGTGCAAAGGCTTTCATACACTTCACATATGTAATCCTTGTGACAAGACCTTCCTTTGGATATTAACAATTTCGACCCTTTGAACCTTGACATTAGAGTTTGACCTACTTTTGAAAAACCTTTACTTGGCCATAACTTTGAACCGTTTGTGCTACGGCTTTCATACTTCACAAATGTAATCCTTGTGACACGACCTTCCTTTGGATACCAATAACTTTGACCCTTTGAACCTTGACCAAGGAGTTTGACCTACTTTTCCTCGAGACAAGTCCTTACTTTGGGTACCAACATATTTGATTTGCATTTGAGAAAGGTTAACCTTCGCTATAAGTTGCCATGCGGGGGCATCGGTGTTTCACAAACACATATCTTGTTTATTTACCTGCTCTTGATTTCATTGAGATACATTCAAAACCACGTCTTATCTGTGGACCTTAGTGCAGGGCCTGTTTTCATTATGTAGTAGATATGTTGTTGTAATTAGCATGAAATTTAAAAGTTTCAATCAAGGATTCAAAGATCCCATCCCACCTGAGTATTTAGCCTTTGGAGATCAGGCCCCGGGATCATGAAACATCTTAATTAAACTTAAATCAAAATTTTTATGTTGTATTAAAATTTTGAAGAAGTCAAGCAAACCAAAATTAAAATATTTTTCAGTATTGCCTCACAAAAGTGTTGTTATCCGCAAATTCAGAGAATAATTCAATAATTAATAATCATTTTACAGCTGATTGAAAATTTGACTTTAAGACTTTCATTATCCTGGGGCCAGATCTTCCAATAATCTGTTGGAATGTCGCTGGACACTAATTGTGCTCCTTTAGTAGCCTTCCCATGAAGAAGAAAAAAAAAATCTTGCTGTGGCCTTCAACTCAATATTTTGATATATCGACGTTTTATCAATATTTAAAAATAGTTCCAGTACTTTCATTCATGTGTCGACTCAATATATCTCATTGAACTCGAAATAAAAGACACTACATTCTCTGTCACATCTGTTTCATATTTGGATGTTTTATTCCTACTGTAGACGATAATGGCCAACTAATAACTAAACTTACTGTATGACAAACGGGGTGACTTCAGCTCCTCCATTTACCGTTGTAAATTTTGAATTTACTAGGTGAAATGCAAAATTACAACTTGATAACCAGATAACATTATCAAGTTGTACATTTTGGTTGCTTAAATATATCCACCTAGTAAATTCAAATTTTTACATGATACATTGTTAACTTTCTATATTTATGCAATAATATTCCAATATCAGATGCGTATAGCGTTGATTCGATACGCAAAAGCATGTTCTGAGTACGAAGAAGTGTGTGTTTGTGTGTGTGTGTGGGGGGGGGGGGGGTCGCAAACAAATAATATATACACATTGAAAAACAAACAGTAATTTATCAATAATATAATTCAATCTCAAAACCTAATTTAGAGCGTAGTTCTAATTAAACACACACATTGCATTCATGATTGTAATATATGTCCTCTTTTAAAAATGACCCAGAAATGTGTAAAATATTTTACTGTAATTAGTATTGTGTATTCTATTTGTCATGTAAAGTCCAAAGTACTTGGGTGATCTAAAAAAAATGTCTAAAATTATGCAAAATATTTGTCCTATTATGAAAAATGATTTTTTTGCTGCGTAATCTAACCTGTTCTGAATGTTGACCGAGGAAAATTCTATTTAAAAACTTCCCGCTCGAGTTACCATACAGAGACAGATTTTCTGTGAGAGCTCGGACTGCACGCAAAAAAATGGCAGAGAACATGTTTCTGTACTGGGGGTCGGGGAGCATCCCCTGTTGGAAGCCCATGATCGTTCTGGAGGAGAAGGGCTTTGGGGGATACAAGAACAAACTGATAACATTCAGCAAAAAAGAGCATAAAGGAGAGGATATCCTGAAACTTAATCCCCGAGGTCAGGTAAGATTATCAATGGACTCATGCCTGCATACTGTAGCACTTTAAGTGAGTTACAGGGGTGGGGGAGGGTGCTGATTAATAGATTAATTAACTTCAAATAACCGTGCATTATTTTAATAAATCTGCTGAATTAATTACGCACTGAAAATTGCACGGTCTTAATGTCAACAATTAGTAATTTAAGCCGGGGTTGAAATTTGGTACATGAAAACGCGCTTATCAGTGGACATGTACAATGCAATATGCATTTTTTTAAAAAGTTATGGGGAAGCATGAAACCCATGGGCAACAACGCTCACCTGAGTCACTCTGATATTCTTCATCAGCTGATTTTTTCCCTAGTATATATTTCTATGTAAAACTTTGATCGTCCAGTGTTGCCCCACCCTACCCCAAGGGTCATGATTTGAACAAACTTAAATTTTCATGTTCTAGGGATGCTTCCATATAAATATAACTAATCATGGCTTTGCTTTTCTTGGAAGAAGGTTTTGATTGATTATTGCTTGAGGCATAGGCACTCCCCAGCTTAATTGTTAAAAATGTATATCTACTATACTATAAATATAACATGTTTATAGTATAGTAGATATACATTTTTTAACAATTAAGCTGGGGAGTGCCTTTGGCTTGAGGCAGAGTCAGCAATATTTCAGGCATATTTCGGGGGTAATACCAAGATTTAAGGGACTTTTTTAAAAAATTGTTTTGGTTTCCCTGGTGGCCCCCAATGTGTCTACTCTTTTTTGAACACAGATTTTAAAAAAGGGAAAAGAGGTCAGGTAACATGCATCTACACATTGATGTGTTTGTGAAACACTGATGCCCCCATATGGCAGATCATGCTGAAGGTCAAAGTTTCTCAAAATGCAAGTCAGACTCAAAGGTCAGGAGATCAAAAATGTTGAAACTTAAAGAAAGGATAAATGCTAGCATCCATTCAGAAATTATGATCAAGTTAAAAGTTTGGGTTTTTTTTTTTCAAAAAATAGGTCAAACTCCAAAGGTCAAAAGGTAGAAATTATTACTACCAAAGAAAGTTCTTGTCACAAAGAAAACACAAGTGAAATATGAAAGCCCTTGCTCCAACCATTCAAAACATGGCCAAGGTTAAAAATTTTCAAAAGTATGTCAAATTCCAGGGTCATAGTAAAAAATATCTGTACCCATGGCAAGGTCTTATGACAAAGAATACACAGTACTATATGGAAGCACCTAGCACTAACCAAACTTATGGCCAAGTTTAAAGTTTTTCAAAATGTAATAAAATAATTATAATATAATAAAAATAATTTATAAGTCACAGTACTTCATTGATTTTCAGTGTAATTAATTGCAGAGAGCTTTCTTTTCAAAATTTTAAAATAATAAAACCTGCATGCATCGATGTAAAATCTCCATTGAAGGAGCCAACTAACATGGTCATGGTTACCTGATGCTCACAGTTTTTATTTTGAATTGCAGATCTTTATTATTCTTGTACATGTATCTGTAAACCAAGCATTTAAAAAAAGTGCACAAGTTGAAAAGCAGGGTGGGGATGTTAATGTATGTGTATTTTTTCTAGGGATGTCAACAAATATTCAACGAATATTCAAGTACTCAACTATTGTTCGATCATACTGACTATCGACTCAAATTTTTTTAGTCGGTTATTCGTTAAAAATTTGCTACTTAATAATAATCTTAAATTCAAGGTAAAAAAAAGTGGATCTGCTCAGTTCATTATTAACGTATCAGAGTTCAGTGTTCTCGTGAGTAAAACTCAGGGAAAGGCTTAACTGATCTTCATTAATTGTTCAAAGGATTTTTTTTGTTCACCAAACATACATTGGCATACTTTAAAAGATGTCAGATCCAAATTGTAAAGTTTCAACCTGCAATTTCGTAAGATCTCGTATAATGTAACTATCCGTGAATGAAGAATACTGTAGATTCCTTATTTTACGCAAGTACTTAATATCGCGAAATGGCCCAAGGGCGTCAAATCGCGAGAAAAATAATTCGCAAATGGGTGATTTATCTAGAGATTTTACATAAATTAAAGCACCTTAGAAATAAAAGCGTGAAATTTTATTTCGCGAGTGGTGCTTCTCGCGTAATTACGCGATAATTTATTCCTCGCGCATATTAAGGAATCTACAGTAATTAATCAGCTGTTACATATTTGTACATGCATGTAAACTGGGGGACAGTTATGAGCGTAGTTAATATCAATCATTTGTATTGATTGTTTGCAAAAAAGCTCTCTTTGTTTTTATAAGAGTTACGCTTTAATTGTTTAACAATCACAGGTCACTGACAAGACACATTCAAATGGCTTCAGGTAAGAAATCAATAACGGGTACATGTACTAGCAGCATGAAAAGAAAGGATAAATGCTAGCATATGATATTCTGTATAAAGATAAAGTGTGCAGTACTTTACATATATTTGAAATCAAATACATTGGATACGTAATTATATTTATTACTACGTAAATGTTAACGACTCAAGAATTCGTTGTATAATGGTGATAGCGTAGATTAAATATTGTACAGACTAGCAGTCTGTTAAAGACAAATAGGAAAAATGACATGAAAAATTAATTAAATTTTCAACGCGTACTCGACTATCGTTCGACTTAAGCCTCAGACTATTCGACTAAGCTGTCCGAGTAAAATTGACATCCCTAATTTTTTCATATGCTGGTTATGCCTCTGATATTGTTGACCAGAATAAATGAAATCTAAGTAAGAAAAACTCTACAAAGAAAGTTAAAGAAGAATGTTCCGTGAACTGCAGTGGATATATGTTTGTTCTGTTTGTTCACCTGCAATATGTTTATCTGGATTACCAATTTACAGATAAGATAGATGTCCTTTAAAACCTGCAAAAAAAAAAAATGACTATCTTATCTGCATGTCAGCAGTCCAGGTACGGGTGGTCTGAATTGTCAAAATTACTTCAACTAAACAATAACAGAAATTTAAATTGCATGACCTAGTGTTGAATTGTGAGGGAATCTATTGAGAATTATTAAACATGGAAGATTGTGCTAATAGTTTGACATTGTTTTTCATTCATTTCATGAATAATTTATGAAATAAATAACATATTTGTAGGTACAGAAGCGCTCTTGCAAGTGCATTTTCATCTTTGAATTTTTTTATTATAACAAACAAACCTATAATATGAGCAATAACAGAGAATGACATATAGTAAGGTGAGTGGGTTTGGAAACGCCAATCTGCATGGAGAGAGATCCCTTGAATCTCATGAATTTTCTCACGTTTTATTTGAATACCTGTAAAACAGGTATTTTATAAATAGTTAAATACAATTGTTCAGAATTCATCAGGTTGGCAGCTAGTGTACGTAAAAACCATGTCAACGTGTTCGATGGAAACTTGTTGTGGTAACTTCGATAAACATGATAAATATATAATTATGTATACATATTCCTTGAGTTTTACGGAAGCAGGGAGTCTCTCTCTCTCTATCCAAACTTAAAAACTTCCCATATCAGCAAACTGCTAGTCGCAGAGAGTGGGGTGTGTTGAATCATTGCAATGAACATTAGGCCTACTTGTTTTTTTTTCATAGGTCAAGCATTAAAATTATATTTTCCTCCAATAAAATATGCAGATGTAATCCTGATATAGAGGTGTTGCAGTTGTCCAACTTTTAACAGCCGACAAAAAGATACATTTTCATGAAGTTAGGAATATAAAGGAAAAAGAAAGCTAAAATTTTTAAATTCAGTTTATAGAAGCCTTTTGCAAAGTATGTTCTAGCTACTCCACTTTATATTCAAAATTTCAATATGCTTGGGATGGGGATTACTGGTAATCAATTTTTATGGTAAAATCCACAGTCCACAAGTTTAAGAGTAAAAAAATTTGACTATCACATACTGGCTTACTGTTCACACATATTTTTTGTACATTAGTGTAAAGTGATTAGCTGTATACTGTACAAGAAAATTTTCTTCTTGTTCCTGTTCCAAGTTAAGGGCAATTTTGTGATTTTAAAATGAAATTTGGTCGGTGCAACTCACCCAGAATAGCTAAAGATAAGAATTTGAAATACCATAGAGAAGATTAGAGAAGTGCATGTTATGTTATATTTTTTGTTCTGTTTTTCTAACAGGTCCCAACATTCAAAGATGGTGACATAGTAGTGAATGAATCCAATGCCATATGTGATTACTTAGAGGTATTGATTTGAGAAGACCTTCTACTATACGGTTTGACATCTTTATAAGGTTCATGAATCCTGATCCGTCATCTAAAATTTTGCCTTAACGCTTATGATTTTTCAAAGAAATCTAAATTTTAATTAAAATGCAAATTATTCATCATGGTGAAAAATACATAAATTACATTTTGAATTGACAATATCACACAAGAGTAATAGACATTTATCCTGGTTGGAGTAATCTCCCTTATCAGAGGGTCAGTGTACCTTAATTAAGCTTTGTAAGTGTTCTTTATAATTTTTTCAAGAAAAAATGAGTGTCATTTTATTTCATGATTTTATTTGCTTTGTTATAGAGTACTTACAAAGGCAATGGTACAAAGCTCATACCTGATGACAAAGCCAAAAGAGCAAAGGTTCTACAGCGTATGCATGAGGTAGGTAAAAGTGTCTCATTTTGGTTAATCTAAGATCATCCTCTCCCTCTCCTATAAACGCGATTTGATTTGTCTTTTAGTGAAAAAATAATTTTAGCATGATGTCCATAGCTTTAATAAATAACTTGTCTGAGCTTGAAAAATCTATCAAAATTTAGTATTTTGATGCGTCCTGACATTAAATAGCTCTTGGATAAAGAGAATATTCAAATTGCAGTAAAAGCCAGCTGTAATTTATACACGTATTTCTTCTCTTCATTTAATAAAAGGCTGCTAGTAACATGCAACAAAAGATGATGTTGGATGTAATTTACTACATGTGGCAAACAAAAGAAGAGGACCGAAAGGAGGTAAAATATGCCATACCGGGGTATTGATTTGTTTTATGCTAGTATCATTTTAAGTCAGTTACCATGGTTACAGTTGCATACTGGTATACATTTGTTAAAGGTGAACACGATTGGTAAAAGGCAGAGATCTATTTTATTCAGCAATTTCCATCAGCTGTACGGCCCTTATACATGTATAAGCCATTCACTTGGTTTAGGTTCAATGTAATCAGTTTTCACTGGTGTAGACGGACATATTCTACAAAACTTATAAAACTCGCAGTAGCGACAAGAGTAACTGTATGCTTCTTCCATGGCAGAAGAGAAAGTTACGGATTTAACTTACATCAGTTACACAAGTCAGTGCAGTACAAACAAACACAAATACACGTAAAATGCAATAAACTGTAAAGAAAGGTAAAGTAAGAAAACCAACACGAACTCGTGTTGTCCATTCCACGCAGGTACCCGTGACAAGAAAGCAGTCAGGTATAATTAATGCAAAGGGGATACCCCAGTGCTAATAGCGGAGATAGGATAACAAATACGGCACATGTCTATTTACGAGTCGTATTCGGCTTTAACATACCTTCTGAGACTACATATAAAAGTTTTACATTTTGTTAACTCCCGTTATAATTTTCATTTCTATTAATCAATAAAACTTACAACTGTATATTTCCTCCATTTACCAAGATGCATACAATTCATTTCTCATTGTTAAGTTATGTTGTGTATTATAGGAAGATGTAACAAAGAAGATGGATGCACTGAAAGAAGAATTAAATCGCTGGGAGGGCTACCTAGGGGAGGTAATTATGTTTATTCTTCTTTGTATGTAAAGTAGTCAGAAGTTCACACAGTAAAATAAACTTCTACTGTGAATTTTTATATTACTGAAATTACACTACAGTACTGTGGAATCATTTTAATTTGTGGGGGTCAGTGTTCAAGGGCAAGCAAAACTGTACTTGTTTGTGGGGACGTAATTTTGTGGGTTACTCGTTTAAACGGTAGATTGAATGTATCAATGTGTTTACAAAATAAACATTCATGGGGATGTATATATTTGGGTAAGGGTGACCCACAAAATCCATGAACATTGGTCCCCCACAAACAATGATGATTCCACAGTATTTTACTTATCTTGATATGTATTTTACAGACAAAAGCCTTTCTAGCAGGACCAGACTTCAGCATGGCCGATGTCTACTTTTACCCATACATTGCCTTTGCTGTCCGTATGGGTCTGGAGCTAGAAAAACTCCCAAATCTGAAGGTATATTTTGACAAGGCATCAGCTCGTCCAAGCCTCCAGGCCACTCAACCTCCTCATTGGAAGGAGGAGGAACCCAAAAATACCCCTCTTAAAGGAATTCTGTGAAACAAAACTTTCCTTTCAGTGTACAATGTAGACACTTTTTATTCTGTTGAACAGAGCAGTTTTCATTGCCATTGTGTGCCATATTAATACAACAATCCTTAATTTTTTTTATTTTTTTTTGCATAATACAATTTTGAATGATTATTAATGTATTAAATACATGTATAAGCATTGAAAATAAACTTTTTCACTTAATTTTTTTTTATATTTAAAGAAGAAGGTGCCATTTTAGCTTTATTGTGCCCTAAAAAATTAATGTTTTCAAAAGTTTTGAAAATGGCATAAATATTAGTCAAGTATATGACTGTGATAAATCAGGAAAGAATATGGCATGAAGGAGTACCATTCTGGAAATATGATGTCATTAATTTTATGCATTTTTCTATTTTAAACAGAACAAGATGTGTTTGTGAAACACTGATGCCCCTGTATGGCAACTCATAGCAGAGGTTAAACTTTCTCAAATGCAAATCAAATATGTTGGTACCCAAAGTAAGGTCTTGTCTCGAGGAATATACCTTTGAAATATGAAAGCCCTTACAGCAACCATTGAAAAGATATGGAAAAGATTATAGTTTTTTCAAAAGTGAGTCAAACATCAAGGTCATGGTCAAAATTAATGGTGCCCAAGGAAAGGCCTTCTCACAAGAAATACACATGTGAAATAAGAAAGCCCTAGCACCAAGCATTCAAAAGTTATGGCCAAGATAAAAGTTTTTCAAAAGTAGGTCAACCTCCAAGGTCAAAGTCAAAAGGTCAAAGTTGTTGGAATCCAAAGCAAGGTCTTGTCACAAGGAATACATATGTGGTTTGAAAGCCCTAGCACTAACTGTTCAAAAGTAATGGCCAAGGTTAAAGTTTTTTAAAAGTAGGTCAACCTCCAAGGTCAAGGTCAAAGTTGCTAGAATTCAAATAAAGGTCTTGTCACAAGGATTACATATGTGAAGTGTGAAAGCCCTAGCACCAACTGTTCAAAAGTAATAGCCAAGGTTAAAGGTTTTTCAAAAATAGATCAAACTCCAGGGTCAAGGTCAAAGTTGTAGGTATCCAAAGTAAAGTCTTGTCACATGGATTACATATGTGAAGTATGAAAGCACTAGCACCAACTGTTCAAAAGTAATGGCCAAGGTTAAAGTTTATTAAAAGTTAGTCAACCTCCAAGGTCAAAGGGTCAAGTTCTTGGTATCCTAAGTAAGGTATTGTCACAAGGATGACATATGTGAAGTATGAAAGCCAAACACCAACTGCTCAAAAGTAATGGCAAAGGTTTAAGTTTTTCAAAAGTAGGTCAATTGTCAAGGTCAAAAGGTCGAAGTTGGTGGTATCAAAAGTAAGGTCTTGTCACAAGGATTATATATGAATATGAAAGCCATAGCACCAACTGTTCAAAAGTAATGGCCAAGGTTAAAGTTTTTCAAAAGTAGGTCAAAGGGTCAAAGTTCTTGGTATCCAAGGTAAGGTCTTGTCAGAAGGATTACATATGTGAAGTATGAAAGCCATAGCACCAACTGTTCAAAAGTTATGGCCAAGGTTAATGTTGGGTAAAATTTTGCAAAACTGGGTCAAACCCCAAGGTCAAATATAATGGTACCAAAAGAAAGGTCTTGTCACAAGGTATATACATATGAAATATGAAAGCTATAGCTCCAACCAATCAAAAGTTATGGGCAAGGTTATAGTTTTTGCGGACAAACAGACAGCTACACAGACGGATGGACAGGGCAAAAACTATATGCCCCCGAATTTTGATTTCGGGGGTATAAAAAGCTTCAAATGACCCATTTCAAGGGTTATTTACCTTAAGAAAATAGTGTCCACAGCTGTCGCCCCCTTTATTTTTCGGATATGTTGTGTAAAATTCTTTGAAAAAAATCACATATCTCAAAATCTTTGTGGACAATTCCTTTGTACAATATTATCTGAAAGAAAATTCCATTGAAAATTGGTGTCTTCTGCAACTTTTAAAGAAAATACCGGAAAATGCACTAGTTTATGACGTCACAATTAGCATTTAGAAGGTCATGTGAGAAAAATGATTTGTATAATCTTTCTGCATGGAATTTCAATGAAAACAATATGAGCTTCAACTTTGATATCAGAAATTTTTGTTGCAAGTTTGTAATTAACTATATTTCTATTATAGAAAAAAGAACATTTATAAACTTCTGTTGTTCATATTTGCGATGGAAGAACTATTTATAAGCTTTGATTGAAGCAAAATTACATTATTGTAGTCCTGTACAATATTGATTTCTTATATAATACTATCTATTTGATTGTATAGAATATTTTATTCTGAAACAAGTTGATATTTTATTTCTGACTCATTGATCAAAAAGGTTTAAATTACGTACAATTTTTTAACAATAATACATTTTTGACAGTAAAATAAAATTCTCAAAAATGCAGCTCATATTGCTTTAATTTTTTACATCGCTTTCATTTTTAAGAAAAACACTTTTTTCAAGATTTGCAATGAAACCGTATACCTTGTTCTTACTCTGCTTTAAAAACAAACAATATGTTGAATAGACCAAGTTTATTTATAGATACGATAGTCATTGTAAGATAATATGGTATTTCCACTGCTTAAAACTAAATTCCAAACCATGAAACCATCAAAAAATCAACATGAATTGAGATACATTTATTCTGCCAATTTCCATACATCAACAGTGTTGGTAACATTTCACGATTTCAAATTTTTTTTTACCTACTTGGGTAATATTTTTCAAAATCTACGTTTTATAAATACATGCATAAATATGACTTGTTTTACAGCAAAACCTATTGCCTGTCATTGAAGATCAATATTGAATAAAACCCCATATAAAACACTTCATCTTTATAGTGCTCTGAAATTAACATAGGTAATTGTAGATTACTAGCTCACCTGAACAAATGTCAAAGTGAGGCAAATTCGGGGTACCAACTGAATGTTCAATAAGTAAGATCTATCGGTTGATTTCTTTGTAGTTGTTTTCTTTATCAAGGTTAACATTGTAGGATAAATCTGAAAATATAATAGCATCTGAAACAAGAATGAAGTCCTTAGATTGTCATTCAATTTCATGGTTGTATTTTAAAACCTAAACCTGGCCTATTTAATATATTTCTGTCAAGAAACTGCATCCAAAGCAAGACAAAGCATGGATACCAGGACATCATGAAAGTTTGGTTGAGGTAGGTCTTAAAGCTAGTAAAACGATTAGACCTGTATAAATCTATGATTACTGGGGCACTATAGCTGAGGCTCTGACTTTGCCAAGGTGAGCGAAAATGAACTGTTTTAATATATGAACACACTGTGTTCAAAAGGTGCAACAGCAACCAACAGAATCTGGTTTTAAATTAACAACATTCTTGTAAATACAATCATAAAGTAAAACAGCCTTTGCTTTCCAATTCTTCAAACAATCACAACTGCCATCTATATAAATATTTGCACATTCTTCCTGCCTTTTCTTTGGAACTTCCAACATTATGTTGCACTCTATCTCTTCCTCTCTCCTGCAGCATACATATAATAACTATCACGCCTCATTATCTTGAACAAAGAGCAATTCATTCTTTCCTAGTCCAGCCTCCACAAAAGAGGGAGGGTCGGGGCCCTGACTGGGTGGTTCACAGGGCAAAGTCCTTCGGGGGAAATTTGTCACTATGTGAAAGTCATCCGGACAGTCCTCATGACAGAATGCAAAATAATGTAAGTACTGAAAATGTAAACAGGAATTTTATAACACAATGATGGAATGCAAATTGATGTAAATACTGAAAAGAAAGAAAAAGTAGCCTTACACAGAGAAATCAAATCGTGTATTGTATGCATAAGTGTAGCTAAGGCAAAAAAAAAATCTATATTTTCTCAGGCATCAGATCAAACAATGCCGCATTTATCAAGGGAAATAACTCAATTTCCTACTTTTCCACACCTTTGACCTCACCTTTAATGACTGATTTTTGAGAAACCTTCTCTCTATCCTAGACCCATGAGGTAACTTTAGAATGATTCTCACAACATCTGGGTCATCAGTTGATGGCTCCTCTGGGATTTCATTCTTTAATTTCTCTTTTAGTAATTCTCTCTCCTACAATAATGAGAGGAAAAATCTGGTCTAAATCTGATTGCTTAGGATGACAAATATTTTCAATAAAAAGTTCCCATCATCACCTGTATCATCTGTAGTCTTTTCTTCTCTTCATCTACCTGCCTCTGTTTTTCTTGATTGATTTTATCTTGTTCTTCTTTCTTCTTCCTTTCCTAAAAACAAAGGATAATCAAAGAGTATGAAGCTCACCTCAGTGAATATTATCTAGAAATATTAAAGGCACATTTTCATACCAAATGAATGTTCTGGTAATGTGCGTCTGTAAATGCAACATCCATGCAAGCTTAGTTTGGGTCAGACTATTTAAGTTATATGAGAATGGACCTGCTCCTATAACTATTGCCTATTCAATCATCCAGAAAATGTAGCTCAGATGCAACATCAAAGCAAGTATGGTAGTGTGCACCCCTACATGCATCATCTATGCAAGTCTGTTCACCATAAGATTTGTACATGTACTTACTTTGGGAAAGACTTGCTCCTAAATCACAGACCTGGTCACCCGGCATCCCAAAATAAGTAGGTCAGATCCAGGATCTGGAGCATGCCTGGTAGTGAGTTTCCCTAGATGCATCATCAATGCAAGTTTTGTCTTGGTACGGCTTCTAGTTACTTGGAATCAGTCTTGCTCTGAAAACTTGAACCTGGTCATTCATCCCTAAAACCTAGATCTAGCATCTGAAGCAAGTCTGGTAATATGCATCCCCAGATGAATCTTCCAATGAACATGCAACTTAAGTCTCAAAAGGGTTAGAGTTACTTAGGAATGGACTTACTCCCAAAACTTTTAACCTGAATGTTTATGCTAACACTGATGCCAATGTGGGAAATATAGCACCACCTCAACTTTTGTATAAAGAGAATGCATTAAATGCAGTCAATAGAGCGGAGAGTCAACAATGGAAAAGAAAATCCAATTCAATTTACTTTTACTCCAAAAAGATAAGCAATTGTGAATAAGTTCTAGAGATTTTCCTTTATGTCAGAGTTATTTTAAGTGTTGTCAATTGGTCTTTTCTTAACACATTTTCATGAAATCCTTGTTTACCAACTTTCTCATGTAATGCATAACATTTCTATGCAAGTATTATGGATATACATGTAGAATACAAAGACCTACAAAACATGTACATTTATTGTTATCAATAACTGCTGTTGTGTAGACCAGATGCTATACATACTTTTTCCTGATCAGCTTTCAGGGATTCTAAGTATGCTGCATCCTGCTCCCTCCTCAATGTCTGGGTGAAGTTCCTCTCTTCTCTGTAACAGAATTTAACATAGTATCTACATATTATACCTTATATATTCTAACATATAAAGCAGGGATGGGTATCGGCAAAAATTTCGTATTGTGATATATCACGATTTTTTCCCAAAAATATCACGATAAATCGTGATACTTTTACACACAATTTTTACTACAATTTCAAAGGAATTTCTGTAATATTTCTTAAAAATAAGCTATAAAAACATAACTTTACTTTTAAAATTTTTATTTATTTAATATAAAGCATGTTTGGATGCCGTTGTTTAACCGTTTTCAACATTTTTTCACTTCCTGTAATTGTCTTTCAAAAGTTTCAACAAATAAATGAATGATTTCCAGAATTTATAATTCGGAACCAAATACCGGTATTTTAGTCTCCGTATCACAATACGTATCACGCAATAAAAATTTGCAATACTCCAGTATACCGATAAAATTGCACATCCCTAATATAAAGATGTACTATATTGCTGTTTTCTTCCCCAAAATATTGAAAATTCTGTGTTTTGTGTTTGTGTGTGTGTGTGGGGGGGGGGGGGGTTAACCATACTGGAATAGATTAAACTATAATATGCAGAGAAAGGAAGAGGTATATCAATGTGTTAAATTTCCTACAATGTGACACATATACTTAACCATGCATGTACAATTCATGTGATACATGTACTCAGCAATCTGTACTAATTTCATACCTTTCAGCACGTGCTGCTATTAAGGATGCCTCATTATCCTGCATGATTCTGTCTAATTTCTCTATCAGTTCTATGGGTCCTGTAATCAACAATGTCAGATCAAATAACAAAGTCATACATTTTTATGTCCTGCACTTCCAGCTGTAAGTAAACACTTACCTATAGGTCCCTCTATCCGTGCTACCACTGTCATTCTGTTTTGTCTCAAGACAATCAATGCAAGAAAGGGATAAGTATTTTCTTTCAATGCCCTGGAAACTGCAAAAAAGGGCAAGATATTAAAATTAAGAAAAAATAAAATCTCAGTTAGATTTATCAAGTGAAAACAAAAATAACAAAGACAAAAAATAAAATTCTCTTTGAATTGGAGTGGCTGAAGAAATATTTCATGAATGTAAATTTTAAGACAACTTTAACTTCTCCCAATGACTTGTCTGTATATTTTATCATATTTACATTCACTGAATATTATCTCCTTTATTTCCTATGAAAATGGTCATTTATCAAAACTTTAATGCTGCTAAGCAAGCCACTGTACAGATTTCTTGAGCAGTGGCTTTTCCATCAATGAAACATACAATGATGTACATACCAATAATACAATATTTCAAATATTTAATCCTACCTTTTATGATTATTTGTAAAGAAATAAATATAAACAAAAAATGTCTTTCTTTGTGTGTTAGTATGAGAATTAATGTTGCAGCTATTGCAGAAAAAAATACATAGCCCACTTACATGTACGTGGGTTGTTTTTTTTGTACAAACAGCTGCAACATTAATTCCCATTCTAGCAACCAAAGAAAGCATTTTATTGTTTAATTTTCTCACCTCTAAATCCCTCAGGACTATTTGTATTGCATGCCCAAAACAACATCCTTGTGTTTATATAATCAATTACTTCTTGATTTCCTAATGTGTTTCTGTTCAAAATAAAAATTAAATCAAGTTAACTTATATACTGTAAACATATTACATTTAGCTGTGTATTCCATTTAGCTCCTTTTGTGGAAAGTAGCTTCTACTTAATCAAATACATTGTTTAATGTCTTGTTATATAATGCTTTATATGTATTCATATAAAGCATATTTAGAAAGGCTAAATCAAATCTATGCTAACTTGTTGAAAAATCAATTTCCGCCAAATATCGGACACAACAAATAAAATATATTCACAGTATCTTACAAAACTGCCACTGAACAATGCAAAGTCAATGATATATATGTTGATGTAAAAAAAAAAATGAAGTTTGAATCGGTCAGATTGAGGACATTCGGTTCAAAATTTCAATTCAAATTTAATTAATATTTTATATATTAATTTATTGATTTAACACATTTAATATGACTGGAAGTATCCATAGAGTGAATAAGTGTTTAAAGTATAAATATTAATTTTGAGCATTGCTAATAAATTGCAAACTTACATGTGTGCTTGCATCACCTGTATTCAATGTTTTGGCTGTATAAACTGTCCTTATCTACATATTACTTCCTTTACAGACTTACCTGCAAAAATCCATGGTGTCTTGGTGATCATCACCATGGAGATAAACACATAGGAACCTTAACTCTCTCTTTGCATCATTCAAAGCCTAAAAAAATAAATATACATGTTAGCTATATTTTACATTAGAACTGTCTGATATATACATACTATTTCTTTTTTTTTTAAAAATTACAATTGAGCTTTGGTATATCAAACAATGATACACCTAATACCATGGATATGTCGAAGTGAGTTGGAAGTCCAAATAAAACTCTTTTTTTCTTTACTTTTTTAACCTTAATATCTCGAATATCTTTTCTCGGTACAAGGAAGTTTGATATAAAAAGATTGGACTGAATCATAGATGTATACTCTAAACAACACAGCAATTAAATGTGTTTATTTCAACACCCCTATAAAATTTAAGACGACGAAAATATATCTTTTTTTTATCATCAGTTAAAATTTTGAGCACTTGCCTGACTATAAGAACCCTGGTAAAATGTTGGGTGTATGCCTCCGAGTGTCTCCTCGTATTTCGATATAAAGGCTGTTACATCTCCTACAGGGTCTGTTACATCTATAAAAACAAAATAAGGTATATATTTTACAAAATAAACTTTCAAATAGGACTAGAGGCTTTATCTAAACAAAATATTGCATATATATTGTAGATATCAATTTTGATGGCCACTTTGATCTTTGTGATCAATGACAAGCCATTCGGCATTTTTTTTTGGGGGGGGGGGGGGCATGCAATATAGTAAGTGCATTATACATATCGCCAAATAACTAAAATATACTCTTAAAAAATGCTCATAAATGTACCCACAATTCAATGATTTAAAGAAAATTCCACTGCAAAAGAGCTTTGTGAAACTTACTTCTCCTTGGGTCTGGACGAATCAGTCTAACTGCAACAGAAAATTTATCAAATGATTTAAAGACTGCTCTCCAGTATATGCTTGTACTGTATTTAACAAGCAACTACATGACTACAATGCCACTTACTTTCATTTTTCTATTAATATGCAAATCAAACACATAAAAAAAATTCTTCCAAGATACGCAATTATAAATAAACATCAATCAATGAATCTTAAGCCAAAGAGTCTCCTTGTGTAAACAAAAAAAAAAAACATTGTATATATAGTACATATGCAATGCTGAGACCCAATACAAATATAGTACTTCTATGTACTTACATGTAAATCTTATTAAATCTAATAGAGAACTGTACACAAAACGGAAGGGAAAGAAGATGATGTGGTACAACCACTGAAAAATGCCTTGCGGGGGAGGTCTGGCCACTGTGAAAACCCTACACATGAACAGAAAAATTAATGTTAGGAATTTCAAACACTTCTTAACGAACATATGAGAGCTTAAGAAAAAAAATATAAAATCCATATTTATTAGGGATGTCAATTTTGTCAATAATTCATATTCGAATATTCAATGAAAGTATTCGAATATATTTGAATATTCGATAAAATAAATAAAATCTGGTATATTTTAAATATGCATCATCCTACTCTCATGAAAGGTTTAGCGTAGGTATTCTTATATTTGAAATACTTTTGTAGATGTACAATAAGGGATTCCATTTGATACTTGTCAATGTTTGAAATAAATTAGTTATTGATTTAAATGTTGAAAAGTATAATTTTAACAAATGATACATGTGTATTTATAGTAGCACCAACTCATTAACCAGTCACCTTGCCAAAGGCAAGATAGTCGTATACTGTTCAGATTCCAATACGTGTAATTAATTACAATTATCAGCCTAATCAGAGATATGATTATAATCTTTGATACAATGATTTTAAAATATAAACAAACAATTCCATAGACAATTTTCCTAAGTAATCAACTAATTTCCCGATAATGAATATAAAATTCAGGATTATGTACAACCTGAGATAATCAAGTAATTTACACATTTATTCTGAAATTGAGCCCTTTACAATATTAATTACAGACTAATTCTATCGGACATTTATTTGAATGATCAATTAAATTTGTTTTGATTAAGTATACTGTTCATTTCGTTGTCCTCGATTCTAGATCCGATCGTATTTAACTAATAAAAATTATGAAAGTACGTTTTGTATTATATAAAGCATTATTGTTATAATTCTTCAACACCTTACTCAAAACAAAATAATTTAGTAGATCTATAAAAGATAAGAAAATAGTGAAAGTAATCGGGCGATCGAAATTGATCGCTAGTAAATTAAACAGGGATAATTCCAGAATTGTTCTAATCAAAATTTATTAATCACAGTACTTCTTTTTTAATGAAATCTGAAAAACACCGAATATTCAAATCTTATATTCATATTCGAATATCAACTCATCGAATGAATATTCGAATATTCGTTGACATCCCTAATATTTATGCATAATCTAAAATAGTGACATAGCCTTTAAGCACAGAAAACTCACAAATAATAAATGCACTGTAACAATTTACATTTTTTGTATATTTTGTATTTGTATATTGAGTTGAAAAATAGTGCCCCTACCTTTGATCATTGGGTTGTAAATTCATAGATGGTTCTCTTGGTTCATTATTAACACCCTCAGGTTGAGTAAATACATTTGGGACGCCTTCTCTTTTATTAAAAGTATCCTGTACTGCTATCTACAGTAATCAACAAAATTATTACCTATAAATTCTACAGATCATATTTTTCTTTGTTTTCACTTATTTTTGAGTATTTTTTTTTTAATTACCTCTATATCCCAGTTATGTTCTTGCAGAATGCCTTTACATCGATCTATGTCTTCAATTCCAGTCAAATCCTTAACAAAACCAAGAAAATTACTGTATTCCAAAGGAAAATGTAAAACATATTTCCATTTTGATTTTTTTTAATCAAGCTTAGTATTAAAAGAAGCTTCTCATTATAATGATTACTATCAAAGTATGATATGTATCTAAAATTCTGGAATAGCTGCAGACAATCAAATCAAATGAATTCATACCAATCATAATGTTTTCCATAAATATGATAATGAATATTAGATGAAATAAATGATTTCCCTTAATTTGAACCCAAAGTATATTACAGTGGCATCATTTTTTTTCAATTATTATTGTTTATCCTGTTTGCAAAAATTAACACAATAGGTTGCCAATTCATAATGCACATGACACAGTATATTGACTCTATCTTAAATTTTGAAAGTCTTGGGAAACAACTATTTAGTAAATTAAAAAAATGGCCTTGTTGATAAGTTTCAGTCCAGCAAAACTTTATTTGGTCCTGTAAAATGCTTCAGACTGTTGGTCCGAATGTCTAGTGTTAAAATATTCTTTTCGCAAACACTGCATATCAACATTAGTTAAAAATCTCAGGGTACTAAAAATGAATTCTACATGTTGTTTTACATTAATTCCATTTGTTATTATTCATGCTTTTAATAGTTTAATATTTTTATATCAAAGTAAAACTGACTTCCTTAGTACCAACAATATTTAGTGATGTCAGCTAATTGAGGTCAAGCCTTGGAGGAAAAGTTTAAATTTGCATGGATTTAAGTTGAAAGCATTATCAATGTGGTACAATGAGGCTTTGAAGCAATGGATATTTAGAATTATATATTGAAATCCTCTGCTACACAGAGACCATTAGGTATATCCCATCTCTATAGCTCCTAGAAGTCCATAATGAGGGGGAGTCAATATGGCATTGCACACCTTGTGTTTTACATATCTAGGGAATAGTATTTTTTGATCTGGGTTTGATTTGCAACTTACTCGATAAAATTTCAGGTGCATGTGAATAGTGTGATATTATGCAAATTTTAATTTTTTTTTAAACAATGTAAAAGGATCATCGCGATATCAAATTATCCAGGAATATGTACATAATTAAGTAACAATTTATAATTCAAATCAAACCCAGTCAAAATTTAGAAAGCTAAAAATCAGTGTAGTAATTACATATACTTCAATTGCTGTTAGAAATTTCTTCATTTCTATACTTAGCAAAATTGTATGCACACTTTACCATACATTTTACATTTCAAGAAACTCCCCTTAGGTCTAAAATACACCAAAGGAAATTCACTGTCAATGTTTATACATGTATACTATTTTGGTAAAAGACGAGTCTTTACTCTAATGCAGAAAACAAAGGCGTTTGTTTTACACAGTACTCTAGTTTTCTACTATACAATGACATCGTATGAAACACTGTATGAAACAAACGCCTGTGGCAGAAACATCAGGATTAAAAATAGAAATCTAACTACTTTCATGTGGAAACTAAGTTTTTCACATTTTAACGGCAAGCGATTTTTCTTCCTTTTAATGAATCAATAGTAATTATCTTTTAAATAACGATTCAAACTGTTTGTGTACTTGAAAGTGAAGCAGTTTCTCTGTCTGTTCTTGAGAAAGGTCCACATCTCCATTCTCTTCTGCCATGATGATGATTTGTATTGCAACTTCCTGTCAACAGCGCCACCTTGCGATAATCTTCTTTATACTATTTGACACAAGTGATTGCATATCATCTATGCATATCTTTATTAAAAAGTAGCAGAAATATTTCTTTTTGCACAAATAGATACTGTAACACTCGATAATAAAAAATAAACTTGATTGACATTACACAGGTACCTTTCGTGTCATTAGTAAGACCTTTCAAATTTAGTTTCGTATGTCTATTTAATTCATAAATTAATCAATGAATTGCGTCCAATATATCATTTAATACTTGCTTGAGTAATTATTACGTTTCCCCTTTATATACAGAAAAGGGAATGTTCTATGAAATTACATTATATTCGAAACTACTGGTACCCATCAAACACTGAAATATGTCAGCTTCCGGCACTAAAATGTGGACTTTCACTTTGGCTTTCATCCTGACATTTTCCCTGCCTTTTACACTTTCCATTGAAGTGAAAGAACCACCAACAATAGGTACAAAATTTGTCATATTGATGCATTATATCAATTTGCTTCCCCTGTCATTTAAACAAACAAATGACCAATGTAGGGATGTGGAACAGCTGTTGAATAGTCCAATCCACTCTTTGAAAAAACGCTATGTCCCTTTGTAGGGTCAACCAAAAGGTCAAAGGGAGAGAAACGACATTTCCCCTCTTCAAGCTACCAATTATTTGAGCGTGCTTCGATAAATCAACTGTGTTTGATTTTTTTCTTTCAATGTATGGGTAGCCCCATCCTGCACTCCTCTGTAAACGTCCCTACACTTCTTATATACCTCTGACTCTTACATCCAAAGGCTATTTTCTAACGAGCTAGTTCCGAATGAGATTTGATCAGAAAATGTGTGTGAAATAAACTGTTAACAAGCAATTCTCAGGTACCTATGTATTTGTTTGAGGTGAAACAGTCACCAGAAATCTAGATAGAACGTTCTATCGTTATACTGATATTGTCCTACGGACCCGGTTTAACGATAGAATTCGTTCCGTGTATTCGCAATGTAACAAAATTAAACACGGGCGATAACTCGAACTCTCTGCATTTTCTACGAAGAATCCAGAGAGTTCCGAATGTCAACATGGCGTTAAATTTGAAGCGAGGAAAAAACGTTGAGAAAATGAGTTGAATTTTCGTATATATATGGATTAATTTGTAGGTTAAAAGGCATATACAATCTCAAAAAGGTTTGTTATGATTAATTTGGTAGTTATTTTCAATGCAACTCCTTTTGTATTCTTCCAAATCATTTCGGAGTGGATCCACTCCGATTTGCTACATTGCAAGTATATGGGACGTATTCTAACTGTGGTGAGGACTTGTCCCGAGACACAGTTAGATTATTCTAATTACCAGAAATCATAAAATCCACTTAATCAGTATGCTCCAATGTTCATTTATCAAAATCGTCATTATTTCAATTTTTCACCAGAAGTACTTTTGATTTGACTTCACATTAAATTTGCGGATTGCTATTCCAAAAATGAAAATTTTATAGCGGAAAACTTATTCCGTTTTGACAAATTTGTTGCATTGCATACCTAAATTTTATGAAATAGACGACCTATTTTGATTTCTGCTTCGATTTTAAAAATAAAGGATTTATCGCTTTATATACAGGAGATTATCATTGTTCTTTGCGTAAGTTTTATTGGAAATGATGAATATTTAATTGTTGCGTATCACCTGGAATGTGAAAGCCTGGATTTTTATTAAACAATTTATTTCCACCTGGGGGTTTCAGCAGTGAGAATTTTTACAATGGATGCTAGAGGTTATGCAGCGCCAAGTCAAAAGTATCTCACCGTAAACCTCTAGCATGCTGGAGTACGTACCCCATCCTGTGGCAATCAACAGGTCCAGCACAATGTAGATTTAGCTTTATAGCTCAAAATAGCTATATAGCTTTATTAAGCTTTTCAGAAATCTGAATAGCTTGATAAAGCTTTTTATATGCTGTTTTCACAAAAATGTTATTTGTAGGTACATGTAATAGGCAAAAAAAAGTCGCAAGTATTTGCCTTTTCATATATACTATGAGCTAACATAAAAGCAACCCAAATCAAAGGTAGTTCTAATATTGCAGCTTTTGAATACTTTTAAGCAAAAGATGTATTTTCATTGTTTGGATAATTGTACACACTTTGTGTGCTTTGAGACATGGATAAGTGTGATTGCTTCACATTGTGCTGAATAGTGGTCAGATGGGTTCGATCACTGGTGGTCTGATAGCTCAGTTGGTAGAGCACCTGACTGGAGATTCAGGGAGCCCAGGTTAGAATCCCGTTCTCGTCCTTTGCATTTTTCTTCTCTCCTGTTACATTTGGTGCCGTGCCATGCCCTAGAAGTGACAGATAAAGACCTGCCAGGGAAGAGCCTGGGTTGGTGTTTTCGAGCGCAAAGACCTTTAAGGAGGAAGGAATGTGGCGGTCAGACATGTTCGATCACTGGTGGCCAGAAGCTCAGTTGGTAGAGCACCTGACTGGAGATTCAAGGGGCCCTGGTTAGAATCCCGTTCTGGTCCTTTGCATTTTTCTTCTCTACTGTTACATTTGGTGCCGTGCCATGCCCTAGAAGTGACAGGTAAAGGACCTGCCAGAGAAGAGCCTGGCTTGGTGTTTTCGAGGGCAAAGACCTCTAAGGAGGGAGGAATGTGGCGGTCAGACATGTTCGATCACCGGTGGTCAGATAGCTCAGTTGGTAGAGCACCTGACTGGAGATTCAGGGGGCCTGGGTTCGAATTCTGGTCTGGTCTGTTGCATTTTTCTCCTCTCCTGTTACATGATTATCTTGTTGACCCAGAATTGACTCATTACATAATATCATTTAAGAAGTAACTTTGTGGTCACAAATCAGTTGCTTTATATAACCCCAAAGCTTTTAGAACTTTTGAGTACAAAGTCTCTCAAGGAGATGCAATGTGATGAGCAATTTTTACATGCATTGTTTTCAGAAGAGTCCAAAGTTGAATACTATCACTACACCAAGGTGCGACTTTTTGTACATGCTGAAAAAAAATAACACAATTAAGAAAGAAGTGTAATATAATTTTATTATCTAAATCAAGCTATTCTGAATAGCTTAATAAAGCTATATTGCTAATTCAAGCTATATAGCTAAATCAAGAGATTGTGCCAGACCTGATCAATATACAAGATTCCAAGATTTCTTTCCATTCAAATGACAAAGTTCAAACCAGAAAACTACAAAGACAACTTTGAGGATTCTTTGGGTTTTTCCCCAAAGATGGTGGCCAAAAGACATAACTTTTGAGAAGTGTGGATTAAACTATAGTTACCTTCAAAGAATTTTTACATACATGTTAATAGTTTTTCGATAAATGTGATTTTAGCAAGAGGATATTCCCGTTGGCTGCCATATTGGAGGTCAGTATGTTCAGATTCCTTAATTCATTATTTAACCAATTTCAACTCACCATGCTGACCCTGAGGGTGACCTCCAAAATGCTGGCCAAGGGGAATAAGTCAGAGAGAAAAATTACAAAAACTTCCTATTTTAGGAATGTGCTCATCATTGAAAATGTTATACATTTTTCATTATTCATATATAATTTTCACAATGTGTCTCTCTTTTACTTGAAATTATATCAAACCTATTTTTCATTAGCATGTAATAGTACGTTTCATAGGCATTACAGGTATTGTCGAGGGGGAATCTGAGGATGTGTAAATTTTAAATATCTAACAGGTATTGTCGGAGGGGGGATTGGAGGAATTACTTAATTTTGATATCTTGCAGGTATTGTCGGAGGGGGGATTGGAGGAACTTCTACAGCCTATTTCCTCAGACAGTTGTTTGGCAATGATGCTAAGATTGACATTTTTGAAAAGAGGCACATAGGAGGAAGGTTAGCTACACTCACCATGGGTGACCACCAGTTTGAAGCCAGGGGAACTCTTATTCATCCCAAAAATATGTATATGGTCAATTTTACCAGGTTACTAGGTAAGTCTGGTAATAAGTAAAATCAGAAAGAAGGAACACTGTAAATACTGTACGTGTACATAAATTGGCGTATTCAAAATTTAGCGCAATCACTGGGTATGGAGTTGTTGGCAAAATCATGAATTAGCGCTATACATGTCCATGCCGTATATTGTATTTATAAATGATTTCTTAGCGGTATTCATGAATTAGCGCATCATTGTATGTGCCAAAGTCGCTAAGTAAATATGAAGCCTGCTTATTTAAGTACACATACAGTAGGCTGTAAAATTTATGTGTGCTTTTTGTATGTATTAGTGTTCCATGATATGATCAAAGTTACTATCAATTATCAAACTGAATCAGCATTGTACAATCAAATAAATAATTGATAGTTTAAAGTTTCATTAGTAAAGGTATCATTAAATAAACTTAACCATGCAATATTCATTCTTAGTAAAAGATATCCTTATAAATGAATACAGATTTTGGAAACTAACTATTAAACATGTTTGGTTAGAAAGTTTGTCCCCCATTTGCACCAGAAATAGAGTAATGTCCCTTGATAATGATAAACAATAAACTGGTTTTGTAAAAAAAAAAAAAAAAATCCAGAATATTTAGTGACTATTGCTGTTAAAAATTTTCTGTCCATTGTTGCTGATGTGCTGCCTTCAGCAACAATTTTTTGATAGTCAACTGTTGTAACAACACTAGTATGTATATGACCAAGATTATTATGTATATTTGTTTCTGATAATAACTGCTATAACCTCAGATGATTAATGCTGTTAATATGAACAATATGCTTATGTGCATGTTTACACAGGGATAGGGCTAAAATAGACTGAGCCTGCTGCCCAATCCCATTCACTTTTGTGAACAAAATATTGTTTAAATTAAAAGTAGATGCACTGTTTTCTACTTCATAATAGAAGTGTCATACTGTACATGTATGTTACAGTAGATAATATAATGTCTCAACATGCCAAAAAGAAAATGGTTGAATATTTTTCAAACTGGCAAAAAACTGTACAAAAGGTGAAAGGGTTAATGATATTCCTGTATTCTGATTTCTCACAATGAACATATTTACATTGAGATGAAATTAAAATACATGTATACAATATGTAGAAACTTATTCAATGGATTTTTTTTGTCCTCAGCTTTCACTGAAAGTGGGGAATATTAATTTGGGTCTTTCTGTCCATCGATCCATATGTCTATCTGTATTTCTGTCTGTGTGTAACACTTTCACTTTCGAACGATATCTCAAGAAGCCTTTGAGCTTTTGCAATGAAATTATATACCACACCTCCCTATGGCCTAAAGAAGACCCCTATCAATTTTGAGGTCAAAAGGTCAAAGATATAGCTCATAAATTCATAATTCTTTTAGTGTGTAGCACTTTTGTTTCCTGGCGATATTTCAAGAAGCCTTTGAGCTTTTACAGTGAACTTTTATATCACAACTCCCTGTGGTCAAAGATTTGAGATCAAAAGGTAAAAGGTTAAGATAAAAAATTCATACATTCTCTCTGTATGTAACACTTTTGTTTCTGGATGATATCTCAGGAAGCTTTTGAGCTTTTGCAATGAAATTTTATATCACAACTCCCTGTGGCCAAAAAAGACCCCTATTGATGTTAGGTCAAAAGGTCAAAGATCACAAATGTCACAACTTCCTATGACATAAAGAAGACCCCTATTTATTTTGAGGTCAAAAGGTTAGAGGTCAAGGTCATAAATTCATACATTCTGTTTGTGTCTAACACTTTCATTTCCAGATGATATCTTAAAAAGTCTTTGAGCTTTTGGATTGAAAGTAATATCGCAACTCCTTATGGCCTAAAGAAGACCCCTTTTAATTTTGAGATCAAAAGTCAAAGGTCATAAATTCATACATTGCAGATAACATTTTCTGGATGATAACTTTAGATTTCTTTGAGCTTTCTTCAATAAAATTTGATATCACAAATCCCTATGGCCTATCAATTTTGAGGTCCAAAGGTCAGAGGTCAGGTTATAAATTCATATATTCTGTCTGTGGTTTTTTCCCCAAACTATATCTTAAAAAGACTGAGATTTTGCAATGAAATTTTATATCACAACTCCCCATGGCCTTAAAAAACCCAAAGGTCCAAAAGTCAAGGTCAGAAATATATACATGTATTGCATAAATAGTTTTCAGAAAATAATTTAGTTTTAATTTCTGTAAGTTTTTGCAATGAAACTTTTGGACATGAATTTCTTTACCTTTAAAGTTAAAGGCCAAAAGTTGAAAGGTCAAGGTTGCCCTTTTTCTCTCTCCATCTGCAAACTTTTCCAGAGGAACAAAAATGCTCTGAATTAACTTGTTTAAAAGATAATCACTAAAGGCAAAATATGCCATATTAACCCCACTGTTATGAGAAGGAGGCAAAACTAATAAATATACAATCTAACAGGTCTGGAGCAGTTACAGGTTGGTGGGGGAACTTTTGGGATTTTTGATGGGAGCTCTATGAGGGTCACAAGTAGTAAATACAGCCTAGTCACGATGGCTAAGCTCTTCTGGAGATATGGCATGGACATTTATAATATTGACTCCTGGATCAATGAGAAACTCCTAAGTAAATTCATGAGGTAAGATTTAAAAGTCAGTTATGTAAATCATGCTTTAAAAAAATAGTCTAAAAATAAGTAAATGTATGATTTATTTAAAGTTGAAATTATAAATTTCAGGTAAAGATAACAAAATCTTGTAAACTAATATGTAATTCTCATCCCCTATGCTTTCTACTTTTACACTTTGGACTGGTCTATGTAAAATTGAGAAATTTGCACCCTCAACTGCTAATGTATATTTAACTTTTGTTAATATATACATGTATGTAGACCCTAGCACTAGTAACCATTTACAATAAATTCTTAATGTAGAGAGAACAAAGTAAAGATGATTAGAAATTAATGGACAGGATATCATTCTTTTAACAATGCTTATTTTTACTCTCTGTAGAATCTATGACATTCAGAGAGCTGGCCATGCCTACACAACTGTTCCTGATCTGATTGGAGCCATGGATCCAGCCTTTGTCTCGTACATGAAGAAGTCCATCAAATTTGTAATGAAAACTGCAGGTTTTGGTGATAAATTTATAGATGAAATGGTCATGGCTGCCTTAAGAACAAACTATGGTCAAAATACAGAAGTGCCTGGCTTTGTAGGTTGGTACTAAAATCATAAATTTGTAGCAAAACATTAGGTAAGCCATAATTTTCTCCTCAGAATGAAGGGGAAAATATGACATAAAACCCAGGAATATAAATGAAATCATATTAAATGACCCATGTCTTTTGTAGGAGATAATAATGTCACTCTTAATGAAATTTGGGGGACATACCATATAACAGGTGTTATCTGCGGTTGGAAATTTTTGCGATTTGGCTCCTGAAAGGTAGCAAATTAATTTCTGCATTTTCAATGTCTGCGGTTGCATTATACCGCAAAAATTTATTTACAGGATATGAACACCAGCGTCTAAGGGTGTGGCAGAACACTGCACTGTTTACGTTTTATAAATTCATTTGAAGACATAGTGATCAAAGGTGCATGAGAACTGATACTAAGCTCCACTATTTATAGTTAGTCTGCATAAATTATATTCAAATCCTTTGTATTTCATACATCTGTAAGCACAATTCTTTTTGTAAGAAGTTATGGAATAACATTAAATCGGGTTGACTGACATATGCATCACTTAAGTGTATAAAATATCTGAATTGATATTCTGTAAAGAAATAATTTGCAAATGTAAATCTGCAAAATTCCGCAAAAATTGGACAACCACAGAAAATACCCGTTATACAGTATTGTTATTGCTGTGCCTAATTTTGTTCTCAGTTCATGTAAATGGTTGGACATTCTGAAACTTGACAATAACATTAATCACCAAGTATAATTATGCTTGCAATAAATGGCCACTGGAAATGGGGGAAGTGGGGTCTGTTTGGGGTGACATGCAAAAGTGGTTGCAATAATAAAGTTTCAAGTTTATCATGTGTTTGTGTCCTTACAGGAGCTGTATGTTTGGCTGGGGTACAACCCGGACTCTGGGCCGTCAAGGGAGGCAACAAACAGGTGCCCCAGAAATTAGTTGCAGAGGCTAAGGCTCAGGTCCTTCAGGGGACCGTAATGTCAGTCCAACTTCTGCAGTACCAGGACAAAACTTATAGAGTGGAGTACGTTGATGCTGAAAAGAAAGAACGACATAAAGATTATGATATTGTTATCATTGCCACGCCTTTACATGATGAAATGTCGGAAATTGACTTTGAAGATTTCCCAAGTCCTATTGAAAATTTTCCTCAGAAATTTCATAAACTCACTGCTACCTTTGTAGAAGGAACACCAAACTCTAATTATTATGGCATTGACAATGCCGAGGAGGTACCCATAGAAATTTTAACCTGTAACGACACAATTCTACTCAATTCTCAGGGTAAAAAAGAAGACGTTCTTGGTAACCCAGCAAATGTTTACAAAGTTTTCTCTAATATACCACCAAGTGAGGAGAATATAAAACAAATGTTTACCAGTAAAAAAGACATCAGAATGTTCTCTATGATGGCCTACCCGGAATACTCCACAGTCGGGGAAGAGTTACCTCCCTTCGTGCTCCATGATTCACTCTATTATTTAAATGGTATAGAATTGGCAGCTTCTGCCATGGAAATGAGTTCTATAGCAGGTAAAAATGTGGCTCTGTTGGCCTACAATCACTGGCATGGAAATCTGGATAAGATTGATGAACCTTATTTAGATCCAGTCTCAGAAAAAGATAAAACGGAGCTGTAAAGAGTGCAATAATTAGGAATATCTTGTGTGTTATACATACAAACAAATAATTGTTAAATAGAAGTAATGTAGAAATAAGAATATTCCAGTTTCAGAAACTCTGCTATCCCTCTAATTTTGTACTTATGTAATTATTTTGTGCTCAGTTCAGTATGAATTTTTTTTCTCTAGTAGAAAGCACTTAGAGACTAAAACCTTGTGTTAGAATTTTATTTAATTGTGTCAGTTCATGTACATTATATAAATCATATACTAATCTTATTGAACAATTGGGGATATTTAATCATTTGGGGCTTGTTAGTCATTTTTTAAGGTACAGTAGTCAGTAGTTTATTAATCACCATTTCCTAATATTCATGTTCAGTTTTATCTTTACATTGAATGGGTATATATAGATCTACCCAGCAGAAATATATAACAATTTGGCACACATCACATTATTTGCCGTTTCTTTCTCAGGAACATTCCATTAAATCTAGAGAGTGCACCAAGTCTTAAAAATACATTTCATGAAATACACCTAGTCAATGTTTTAACATATTATTTATGCATGCATCACCATTTTTTTTGTCTTTTTTTGAAGTACAGGTATAATGTATCAGGCCATTATCTTCAGGAGGTATATTATCTAGTCGTGATAGATACTGGTATGAAGTACATATATTGTTAACAACAAAAAAAAGTCATTACAGGATCAAATGTCTCTAGGTTACATAATGCTACAAGGTGTGATGTCATCTGTAATTTGCTTAATATCTTCTTGTACATTGAAGTCGGGGGGGGGGGGGGGGGGGGGAGGTTATAAAGCAATCAATAATGAATGTGTTTGTGCACAATTGATGACATGATTATTACACATTACCCTTTGCTAGGTGACACCCCACTATGTCGTGCTTACCCCATTATGGTAAAATACGCATTCCATACTTTTGATCACTGATTTATTCTTAAGATACAAAATGTTTGAAGAAAATTCATGTGCCAGTGATCATAACAACTACATGTTATTTGATAATTGTTATAAGAAGTACCTGGTATGTGTTTTGTAATTAGATCTCAATTTTATTGGTAATGTACCAATATATATTTTTTAAATAATACCAACAAATTATATCAGGTACTTACCTATTAAATGAAAGTACTGATGAGCAAAGTATATTGGTTGTATCAGTAGGAATTTTTGTTATACTCAATAAAATACCTTGTGAGTAATGATCAGTTTCAAGTCAAATAAGTTCATGTAGGCCTATATGTATTGTGTAATGTTAGTATGAATAAGAAGTATCGATTTTATCATATCAGCATTGTGCATACTTGTCTTACTAAATATTTTAGTATTGTCAAAGTGTCATTTAGACAGGTGAAATAAGTGTGGATGTGTGAAATAAATGTAGAAAGGTCTAAGCCTGTAACCTTGTTTGCTCTTCTACATAAATTATGATAATTTCCTTTCTTTGACATTACAGAGATATTTTTGAAGATGTAGTCATATAGACATTCCTTTTCCTTGGGAAGCATTCCTTACCTTATTATTATTTGGGTGTATGGTCTTCATTTTATTTATTGTCTGTTTATTGTATTAAATTATGAAAATGGCTTATAATTGAAACATGCTTGTCGTATATTAAAATCCAGTCAGAGATTTTCTATTTTTTCCTTATACAGTAAAACACGCTTATAACGAAGTGCCAGGGACGGACGATTTCCCTTCGTTATAAATGTAATTCGTAATATGTACAGGTATCCATTAAGTTCAAACTAGTAATATATTTTAAAGCCATGGGAAATGAAAATCTTTTCGCTGTAACCGTCAATTCGTTATATGCATGTTCACTATAAGCATTTTTTACTGTAAATGTTTTGGTAAATGTTAATTTTTTTTTTACAAATTTACATGTATATCATTTCTTTTCTTATGAAGATTGCATATTTATAGTTTAGAATTGTTGTCATAGAAAAAAAAACAACAAATATATACCTTACTTTTGTCAATATTTGCAGATGTTTTAATTTTTGTGTGGGATAAAATTTGATTAACATTTGTTGAATTCATATTTGTCATGTTCAGTTTACAAATAAAAAAGAAAAATATTGTCTAACTTGTGTAACGTTTTTGCTAAGTACAAATGATTATTAGGTTCGCTTAGGTTTCCTTCCTAAGAATGACGCTTATAATATTAAAAAAAATTCTGTCCTTCAAAAAGGACTACAATACATGGACCATAAGCATGCGTATCTAAGAGAAATCAAAGAAATATTCTGTGTTGTAATGAATTATGTGTTTATCTGGAAACTTCGTTTTTTCTTTATAATTTATCATAGTTGTCTAAGTACTAAAACTGTAATAACTAAAACTTGATATCAATTATTCTTGATCAAGGCAAACTAATATAGTCTTGACCTTTAAGGTAGGAATTAAATGGGGGGGGGGGGGGGGGTACAGTGTATCATCTATGTATCACAATTATCCTTACGCTATACTAGTATGTGAAATGTTTTGGTCAAGCTCAGAATTAAAATTATTGTCCCGTTTTAAGTAGTGATGTTTTGAAATTTCACCTGAGTGGACATCCTACTTTGCCATTGTCAGATATCTGTAATATCTGTTGTATGCCGTGATACGACCTCCAAAAGTGGTATGACTGCACCAAGGGTCTCTGTCTTTAGAGGACTTATCTGAGTGGTTAACGAGTCTTGAAAAACCACGACAGGGAACCCTTGTGAAAGGCGGTATGACCCGACCTCCTCAGTATTTGTTTTCAAAACTGAATTATATTACTACATTTTCCCCCGTTCCCCCCCCCCTCTTTCACTCAATCTTGTCGGTACGAGAAACAAGCTTTGTGCATACGTAGGCTAGTGCCCACTTCTGGCGTTGGAATTGAAATAAGAATTAAACATATTAACAAGAATTCTTGCACAATTATCCCTCCATGAAAATTAGAGAATTGTGGAGTAAACGCCGGGGGTTTTATTCGCGAAAAAACAGTGAACGTCGAATCGCCAAAAGCGAATGTAACTCACATTTAAAATAAAACTTGCTATCTGGAAACAGAGGGAGAAAAAAGTCTTGAAATCCAAATATTTTATTTATTTCCTTGCATACAACATTTGATGAAAAATCCATGTACTCAACTGTCAATATATTTTCACCAGATATTGTTTTAGGAGTGATAATAACACATTTTTTAAATGATTTTAATTTAGTTAATTAACTGCAGATGCCAAGTTCCCATTTCGCCATAGTCTTTTTAACTCATTTCTACCCGGTTCCATCAGATAAAGCAAAATGAAGGAAAATTAATGCATGGTCGGACAACAGAGACATATCCATGATTCTCCTGTGTGTTCTTACTTCCATGACAAAAGCTATACAATTGACGTCAAGAATGCGTCATTTCAATCCTGAGGTAATGAAAGTTTGAAGTATTTTAAGGTTTTTATTGGATGTGGGTTTATTTCTTTTATTGGTGAGGGGGTTGTTAATATTCAAATTAAGTCAAAGAATAGGAATGAATTCACGATTTACTTACATTTCAGTTAATCAGAACCGTTAGATAGGAAAAGAGATTCGATAACGTCAACAACGCCATTTTACGAATAGATTTTTTTTTAAATTTCATTAATTGTTATATGAAGAGTAATTTTTAAATTCAATAGATGATCAAATGTTTCATCTTTAGGGGACATTCAGACCTGATTGCTTTTTATACTTTTCTACTAATGACCCGATATTTTCTTTGTCTTTTTCCGTAAGAGTCTTCCTATTAAAATAAGCATCCGCTATCCAAGGTAAACCGATAACAAAAACACTTAGAAAAAATTCTTGATGTCCTGTACTGTTTTTGCTCTTATAAATTGTTTGAAGCGTGATGAGAAAATATATAAAGGCAAGAAAACATTTACAAATAAAGAATTTCACATTCTTGAGAGATCTTTTAAGTCCTTTTTTAACAAAAGTGTAAAATTTCTCTTCTATATATGGTTCCGATTGATCCTTTAAAATTTCTAGAAGAATTTTAGCATTCAGATCAACCATTTCTATTTCATATTTTATAGCATATACTATTATTGACATCCCCACAACGAAACTTCGAAGTAATTGTTGGTGTAGGGGAAGCAAAACGAAAATAATGTAAGTTGCGGATCTTAAAATAAAGAGGAGAGAACTGATCATGGGACGTAATGTTATCGGGAAGGTTATCATTATAAGTACTTTTATCCACCATTTTGATTTTGAATTACATTTGCGAAAAAATAAATGTGGTATGAGTAACCCCTCTATTAGGATTTTTAAAAGGTAAAAAGCGGCAAAAATAATTAAACCAACTACAACTAATATTGTAGCAATGGGAAGACCGAGAATAAATGTTATATTCTGCAACTGGGCTTTGGATAATATATTCCTCAGTTTGGCTTTCCACCCATCTTGAAGATATTTACCACTATTAAATTTGTTTTTAAAATATTCTGGTAATTTCGAAAATTTACATTTCTTTTTAAAAATTTCAATTTTGTCACCAGGAGGAATATATTCATAATAAGCAGTCGCAATAAAAACAACTAAGTAACTTGAGACCATCATGAAAATCAGATCACAGGTACACGATGTACTACTCCCTACTAAGTCGCAGAGTGGTTCGTTTGAATACATTATAAAGTGTGCATGAAAGAGTTTTTCTGCTATTGCATGCCTGTAAAGAACTCTGTATAAACCAATGAAAAGTAGTATTGTCCAGTTTACGACAGCCGAAAACCGAAAGGTAGGGGAATTTAACAAAATATTTCCTAAAGACCCTGGCGAAAATGTATAGGTTTTTATCGGTGTGTACAGGAACTTTTTCATGGCGCGTTTGATGCCACTTGGCCTGTCTCCTCTTTTATATCTAAATTCCGTAAACTTTTCCTGTTTTATCAATTTAAACAGCCATAAGAATTGTATCGCAACCAAAAAGCTCCCCAGTGCTATGATGGCATGTTGGAAATCTTTCTTTAGATATCTGTACTCGTTTTCCTGCCACTGAATCATAGTTTGACAGTCTAAATCATATCCTATCCACACAGAAGTTACGTAAAAAAGTAAAAATTTTAGAAACCTATCCGTCTCAAAGTTACGGTTACACAAAGAATGACTCGAATAATTGAATAACAAAGTACTCCATAGTATTTTTTTAACGTCTTCAATGTTGTTTTCATTTAAATTGCAGCCTGGTGGTTCCATCTTCGGATGTAAGCGAATACTTGCATCTTCACTACCAAAATCCGAGTAGCCAAAAATTAGTACGAGATAATCAATGGGCATCTGTCTCATAAGGTCCTCGTCTGGGGAAAGAAATTGCCACTCAGTCAGGCGATGTTTAAGTACTTCGTTCGAAACAGAACACCCTTCAATATTCAAATGGATGAAAACAAGGTCAATTTTTTTCACGCTTATAATTTTGTGTAGCTTTGCAATTACTTTCTCTAGTTCTTTTGCAGATGTTAAATTAATCATGCAAGTGTTATTTTGTTTGAAATTGTCGAATTTCTCTTTCCCATTAATAATTTGAGATTCATTTGAATCAAAGGTTGTGTTAGAAGAATTGCTATGACGAATATTTCCATCTTCCTGCCGTACGAGTACAGTGAAGAATACCAACACAATAAGTGGCGTATGGGAAGACCACATCTGTGAATAAACATATAGACTTTTAATGAAATTTGCATTAGAATTTAATAAAACATTTTGAGAAATTAGGTTTTAAAAGTCACCCAGATTCTCTTTCATCAGTTTCTCTAAAATGTTAGAATTTTCTAGTGAGTATTAGATGGATTGTTTTGATTTACATGCACTTGTAATAGTGATTAACCCAATTGCAACTCTCATGGACAAGCAAAACAAAACAAAAAACCCGCACTCCCTCCAAAAAAAAAAAAAAAAAAAGAAAGAAAGAAAGAAAGAAAGAAAGCCAAAAATGGGGGAACTGACTGGGTTTGAGTCGATACTTCAATTTTTTTTCATATATGTAACATCCTACCAGCTATCGAGGTTCCAAAATCATTTATTGACACTGCAGTGTATATTTTATAAATTAAATAACTCTCTGAAAATCGCACCGCTCAATATGTGTTCTCATTATATTAGTAATCGGTTTATACCCATCTCCCCTTAGTTGATTTTTTCTAATTAAGCGACTTAAAAAAGAAAAGAAAGAAACTACAAAGGAGAGAAAGAACAAGATTGTTTACCTAAGTACCCATAACGGGGGCTAAACATGTCTTGATAGATGCTGCTTTTAAAATGGGGGTGGATGTGCTATGAAAAAACTCTAAGAGGATTAAAGTTTTTTCTAGTTTATTTAGAGTAAAGAGGAAGCAAACACACCTTTACAATTCTTTGATTGAAATAAACCACACACACACACACACACCCTCACACACACACACACACACACACACAGAGAGGGAGGGGGGGGGTAACCAATCTGATCCATAGAAACTCTTGTATGTGATGGGTGGAGAGTTCCCACCTCTCACATTGTTTAGTGAACATAAATGGGTGGAATATTATTTCTTCTAGAGTACTTTAACCGGTATGTAGAAGTTCCATGTTTGCATCAAATACATGTACTATGGAATCATCAATGTTTGTGGGGGGGGGGGCAACGTTCTTGGATTTCTGGGTCACCCTTATCACGAATTTACACCCCCTCGAACAATATTGATTCATGGAATCTTCTGTATATACGAGTAACCTACGAAATTAAGTCCCCACGAACCAACAAAATTTTGCTTGCCCCACGAACATTGACCCCCCACGAATTAAAATGATTCCACAGTATTTATAAAATATATATAGGTATCCGAGAAGGAATAATGAATTCAACAGATTTGTTATACAGCGAATCCTGTCTAATCTGAATGTTGTATAATCCGAAATCATGTATTTTCGGTGATTACCTTTAGTCCGTTAAAATGTCATATTCGGCCACTAAAACAGATTATATTCGTTACAATGAATTTTTAAAAAGTTATACAACGAATTAAATTCGTTTTTACAAACTTGACAATTTGTTACTAGTAATTATATGAAATTCAAAAATTATTTTTTGATAGGTCATAAATAGGTTTCTGTAGGAAAATCACTTATTTTAAATTAAAAGACCAGAAGACGAAAATCCGGGTTTGGTTTTCCAGATCATGCCCCTTGTTGTATTCTGAGTTTCATATGCAAATTAATGATGATTTCATTGAAATCAAACATCCAATCGAGTAGTAATATGATAATCAGCATACAAAATTTCAACACGCCTCATCAAGCAAACTGTCACGCTGTCAGTAAAACGATAATACATAGGGAAAAATGTGATAAGAAAGCTTAGGTGACCTATAGCTAGTAAATGGATGGTGATGATTTGATTGTGACTAATGGTGATCATATTCAGTTCCAAGTCTAAAATCTGCGTCACATTTAAGCCGATGGTCGGGCGACCAAATTTTTCTCGTAATATATTGTGTCGCCCGCATGGTTCGAATCCCACTGTGGGACGTGGAGACCGGTCCTTCGGATGAGACCGTATAAACCGAGGTCCCATGTCGCAGTAGGTGCTGGCACGAAAAAGATCCCTCACTGCTCAATGGCCGTAAGTGCCGAGTATAGGACAAAATTTGCAGCTCTCCATCGGCATGTGGTGGCGTCTCCATGTGAGTGAAAAATTCTCGAGAGGGACATTAAACAACATACAAACAAACAAACATAATATATTGTCGGTTGGAAAAATATTATCGGGCGACACTGTATCGGGCGACTAGGAGCAGTTACATTTTTACGTAGATTATATTTCAGTCGATGTTCGGCCAATGAAATTTTTATCGTACCGTCGGATGAAAAAACATGATCGGCCGACAGTATTATCGGGGACGTAGAGCAGTCACATTAATTCTTAGAAATACTAATGACTTTTAATGTTTGAATATTCATACGTCGGAAAACCCTCGCCCGATCATCGAGCGCTGAGCCGCAGTTTGATTTTCACCATTTATGAAAACACAAAACACCCCTACTAATGTTATTGTGATTTAAATTCAAGACACGTGATGTTGGTTGACCCATCCAAAGGTCATATGGGTGCAATACCTAAATGTCGACCGACCGACGACCGACATAACAAACTATCTGCCGATGGTGGGCAATGATCGAGGGCTGGTCGACGACCTATTTAACGACTGCTTCAATTGCGATGATCGAGGGCTGGTCGACGAACTTATTTAACGACTGCTTCAATTGAAGAAAATGCCACCGACACAGAAAAAATTAGAGGTCAAATCGGGCAAGACAACAGTAGAAGAACTGCTGACTGTCGCTCGAAGTTTAAATATTTATAAGTCGGCCAGTCGTCGCCCGATCACCGAGTGCCGAGCCGCAGTTTAGTACCAATACCTAACTGTCGACCGACCGATGACCGACTTAACTGCCTGCCGATGGTCGGACGATGATCGACGGTTGGTTGACGGACTATTCAATGACTGCTTCAATTGAGGAAATCGGCCACCAACTCACAGAAAAAAATAACTTGGCTCGTCGGACACAAATTTCGGCCGACGAAAGGATCAAGAAAACAGTCGATGTTGACTCTCGCCCGAAGAAACCCATTATTTCCTCAAGAACCATCGGCTGTTGGTCGTTTTTGGAAATGTGACTGGGTTTTACCGGCAAAATCCAAAAACGAAGGAATAAAGGAAACGCCATATGACAATAGATGATTGTACAAAATTCTTGATGAAAGATCATTTATATCCGACTTAGTATATTGTTAGTTTGCTTCAACAAGATACATGTATATAAATCTTCCTTTTGTAGAAGCTCCTTATGATTTGATCAAACTATATTTCCATTTCTATTTGTTTTCTCTGTGATAACTCTTTGAAAGTTAGGAGAGTTGATTTCTTGATCATTCTAAAGGAATGCAAATTTTGCCAAGCGAAAGGTCAGTCCTAATATGCATGTAATTCTCGTGCGGCTGTCTTTGTGTTTGACGTCAGTGGGCGGGGACTATTGAAATTGACATGTGAGGCCTCGTGTAATTTAAATCTATTAGTCTACATTTTTAAAATCTAAATTTACATTTTTATTTCAAAATGAAATGGAAATATAAGGAATCACTGTCTAGTTAGTAGAGTATGCCAGGGACATCAACGATAGTTGGAAACGTGGGATAATTTATGCATAACGGGCTTCGCCCTTTATGCAAATTATCCCACGTTTCCAACTATCGTTGATGCCCTGGCATACTGTACTAACTAGACAGTGATTCCTTAAATAACCGCAAAATGACAACTTCAGGAAACGCGAGAAAAGTGACCATAAGGAGAATGATTATGAAGATGAGTGGAGTCAAACCCAGTGATTAATACCAATAATCAGCGTTTGAACGCATAATCGGTGATAAGAGTGGAAGTAAAAAATTAAAGAAAAAAAAACAAAACAAAACTTTACACTACTACTTGAACCTTTGTTAAAATCACTGATCTTTTAATTCAGGGGAGATTCTAAGCGTATTCTCTTCTATTGACCCCAAAATCAACATATATACTTATAATTGACGATATATTTAGTTATTTAAAATATCTTAAGTTTACGGAAGATGGAAGGTGATAGGTAAGAAAAATATTTTATCAGGCGGCCGCCATATAATTTTCTAGCGACCGCCAAAACATTTTAAGGCGGCCACCAAAAAAATCTCTGTCGAACACTGGCAAATTCCATGATTTGGACAGTTAATTAAGTTTGTTTTTTGAAAATTAATTAAAAATGACATTGCCAGAATCTTATACATATGAAGTTTACAAAGTGAAGAAAACGCCCCCCCCCCTTCCCAACTTCCTCTTTTCCCACCGCAACGAAATACATGTAGGATTTTTTTCAGGTTTGAAGATGTTGTTTAGGTTTTCTTTCATTTTAATTGAACAAAAAAATTAATTCAATTTAAAAAAAAAACTTAGCTGTGAATACGGATACTCATGATAAACCCGGAGCGTATTTGATGCTGTTTTTGGTATACACGTACTTTAATTCTGACGAATATACATTCAAAGAGATTTACCAATGGATATACAGTCCTTATCTTTATCAAATTTGGTATATAGATGTTTATGTGCAATGTTGTGCGCATTGTGCAAATCAAAACAAAATCTGCGGATTTTGCAGCCAGCCATTGAGTATCCAGTTGGTTTTAAAAAGAA